ATGATTACTAACTCTTTCATTCCTGAATTGAATAACCATGATGTCCAGGAGATGTGGTTTCAACAAGACGGCGCAACATGTCACACAGCTCGTGCCACAATCGATTTATTGAAAGACACGTTTGGTGACCGCCTAATTTCACGTTTTGGACCTGTGAATTGGCCTCCAAGATCTTGCGATTTAACACCGCTAGACTACTTTCTGTGGGGCTATATAGAGTCATTGGTCTATGCGGATAAGCCACAAACGCTTGACCATTTGGAAGACAACATTCGCCGTGTTATTGCCGATATACGGCCACAAATGTTGGAAAAAGTCATCGAAAATTGGACTTCCAGATTGGACTACATCCGCGCCAGCCGTAGCTGTGGTATGCCAGAAAGCATATTTAAAATGTAATGCCACAAGATTATCTTTCGGATAAATAAAATTCATGTCAATCGTTGTTTTATTGCAACTTAAAGTTCCAGACCTAAATAAAATGTTCAATTTTAAAGTATGCAATGGATGAAATACGATTTTATTCAAAAATTTCATGGAGAATGCAATATACAGTCAAACCCGACCGACCGAATAGGCTTCGCTCGCGTTTTTCATCCAAGCACATGTATATTTCAATTTTTAATAAAACATACAATTTTATATTGCCTTCCTGCTCCCTGTTGCAGCAAATTTTAAAGTGAATGTATGTCTACGACATATGAAAAATGAATTTGTCCGAAAATACATTTTAATGATGTTTTAATATCTACCATAATAAATAATTTTCATTAAATTTAATCACATAATTAAGTAAACTTCACATCAACAATGACGTACTACTAAAATTTGCGTCAACTTCTCGCTAACTGCCAACTATTTCTATACAGGGTGTTAAAAAAGTACGCGGCCAAACTTTACGAAACGATTCCTTGCGTGATTTTAAAATCCCCATTCAATTTGGTGCATGAACTTGCTTTCGAATGAGCACGGTTTTCGCTTTAAATAATAAATAAATACAAAAAATTACCTACCAACAGGAAGACGTTTATTATTAAATAATATTAAATAACTGTAAACAAAAGATTTAACAAATAAAAAAAGCTAAAAAGGACCGTGTAGATGCTAATCGGAAATCATAAGTGTCGTCGCAAAACAAGTACGGGACATAAGAAACACATGGCCGTGAAAAAAGATTCACTAGATTATTACCAATTATACTTATTTCTTTGCATTGACACTAGTCATAGTATTACACGCGCCAACTTTCAACTTTACATAAAATACAAACAATACTCCGCCAGAAAAAAATAAATTAGAGCAACTGCTGGAAATGACCTCCCCCGACTTCGATACTTGCGTTTGTACGCCTTATTGGGGACTGGCGAACCCTTTCTAAAATACCAGCGGTGTTCTTAATAACTGCACAAGAGTCTTCTATCCGATTTCTTAGATCTTCCTCACTTTGGACTGGTGTTGTGTTCACTAATGTTTTTAAGTGTCCCCAGAGAAAGAAATCCATTGGATTTAAATCAGGTTACCTGGGTGGCCAAACATGTGGTCCAGTGCGGTGGAGCTCCCTCATGCATAAACCACGTAGAACATCTTTGCTCTAGCGGGACATCTTCCAAAAGTTTAGGTTCATAAGTTCAGCTCAATAAATTGTCTGTACTGGTCACCAGTAAGTCTGCCAGGTAGAAAGTGAGGCCCGATAAGGAAACCCCCTATAAGTCCAATCCAAACATTTACCGAAAATTGCTCTCCAAAATGGTTTTCAGTTACGGCGTGAGGATTATTATCGGCCCACACACGGTTGTTATGGAAGTTTATTATTGAGTTACGGGAAAAACATACGTCGTCGGTAAACGTAGAAAGTGAGGCCCGATAAGGAAACCCCCTATAAGTCCAATCCAAACATTTACCGAAAATTGCTCTCCAAAATGGTTTTCAGTTACGGCGTGAGGATTATTATCGGCCCACACACGGTTGTTATGGAAGTTTATTATTGAGTTACGGGAAAAACATGCGTCGTCGGTAAACAACACTTGTGATAAAATCTTGCACTTACACAAAAAGATATTCAGCTTGAATAAAGCAATGTAAGGGGAAAGACTTACTTATTTGAATTTTGTACGTGGAATTGGCCACACTGCAGGTACGTAAACATTTTAGAAAAATTCAGCTTGGAGTATTATTAAAAATTAAAGAAAAAACTATTTTGTTCTCCAGAACTTCTAATTCTTTATATAATTGGCCCATTAAATTAGCCATGCACCCCATAAAATTTCGAATACCTACTATTCATTATTTTTAGCGGGCAATAAAACGCGAAATAAACGATAAAAAGAACTCTTGCACACAGAGTTTATTTTCTATTTCGTATTTCGTTTATGTTTCTCTTTATACGTAAAGCAATAAATACAGTTTTCCAGTGTGCAAGGGCCTTTCAGTTGATGAATATTTCGTTTCTATTCCCTGATATCAAATTTGTATATGCGTAGTCCCGCGAGTCGAAAGAATTGCAATTTTCTCTAAAAATAGGTTTGACATAAGTAGAAGTTCAAATCTACGCAGAATTCCTCAAGGAATGCGCAACGGATGGGTTGAGAATATATTTGTTGCCACTGTCCTCTGATGGACTGAAACGATGTGGAAGTAAATTAACTACGACGAATCGATTTTGTTCGACTTCGTGTTTGTAATAAATGTTACTTTTCCTATCGGCCTAGGTACGAATATGTGAACTAAAAGAATTAAATCAATTTTTAATCATTCGTTGAATATAAAATTTAATTCTATTGCAAGGTGTGACCGAACGTTAGGTCACATGCAAGAACAAGGCACAAAAATTATAATAATTATGTTTTTTACCTAAATTGTTTGTTAACAAGTTCCTTTCATTAGAATAGTATTTCGATTAAAATTTTGCTGCAGAAAACGATGAAAGAAAAACAAATATCTAGGAAATGGTAAATGCCAAAAAAAAAACAGTACTTTGACAAAACAGTGCATGTGTAAAAATTTGTAAATAAAAATAGCCAGTTTTGTACAGTATTAATAAAAGATTTTAAAAAGTCTTTTTTTTTTTTCGTTTACCGGACATTGTAATACTGAGTACAAATCTTCTGCATCCCTCCTGCGTTGGCTGTTGATGAATCGAACTTGCTGACGTTTCGCCAATCATCCTGTGGACTTCTTCAGAGTTTAACTGAAACTGGCTCGCTTCTGCTCTGTATCTGCTTATATACTGTTTGAGGGGGGCGGAGCTATAGGGTGGGGGACACGAACATTGATTGATTCTCATATTGGTGATCTGACCTGAGTGGCGGTTAAGATTATTTCAGTTTAGCTGTGACCGACGCAGGAGGAATCCAAAAGGTTTGTTAATCTTTTCTCCCTTCCTATTTTGGAAAACCTCACTTACATGAATACATGTACTGGATTGTGCTAATATATTTGTCTATAATAATCTATTCTATCTTGTATGCATCATATCTTAAGAAATTGCTGGTGCACACTAAGCCAAATCAGTTATTTCCTTTACTGGGAACTAACAATTTTCTTAATTAACTTTCTCATTTCATAAATACGTGAAATTGGGAACTGTTCTGTACTAAGCTGAAATATTTACTACCATTTGTTTGGTTTGTTTGCCATGTAAAATACCAAATTATACACCGTTATAGCGTGCGGGAAGCGTCACTTTCCCACGTCAGTTTCGTTTCCCACGGATCCGAGCCACTTCCGACATTTCCGGGATTTTACCGGAAGGGTTTGGGAGCAATCGGATCTTTTCGCAGATTTTAAATGTATTCGTGCGGTTTTGCGAAAATTTACCCAAAAACTAAAAGTCGTAGGAAAAGTATAGTATGCAACACGTTCGGTAAACTTTTTAAGTCATTCGTTTATTAAACAGTAGCTCCGCCGCGCTCCGCTCGCGTAATATCCATAATATACTCGCGTCAAATAAACTCGTGAGTTAAATGCCGTTTACCGCACTTGTTGCATAATATACTATGATTTTACTTATGCAAATTGTGTTGTGCTTTTTTGTTTTCTCCAAAAACCTCACCTTATATTTTCATAAACAAAGATACCGTGTATTATAAAAATTATACCCCAGTCATCAGGGCGTGCAAAGTGCTAAGGTTTGATTGTTTTTTTTTTCAAGGATGGAAAAAAAAACACTATTGTGCAACGTTGTCTAGCGTGTGTCGTTTTCACGTTTTTCATAGGGTTGGTAAATATCCGAGACAGAAAAGTGCGAACACCTTATATACTTTTAAATATAGGCATGCCATTTGAAAATCATATGCAGTGCACGATTTCCATTTCTAATTTAACCGAAAGCCACTGTAACTTTTAAATTTTAAATGACACACCCGGCATTTTTTACATTTTTGATTAAAAAGATTACTTTAGTGACAATTTGTTCCTAATTTTTTATTTAATTCGGTATTGTAAATTATGTCTAAGCGGCTATGACCTCAATAAAAAAATTTATAGAGATATTACAGTTATAAATGAAACTCTTTTATTTATCTATCACCAAGTAATCTCCAAAATAATGAACTAACGCCTACATTGAACTATCTTAGTTTGGCGTCACTATTTGAAAGCGTTTAAAGGTAGTAGAGGGTATAACTTTTTTGTGGAACCCGAAGTAGTTATCAAAACTATAAATATCATAAAATTCAAAATATCGTCAAAAGTGAATTTTTACTATAATTTTTTCTCGATATTTTATTTTATATATTCTTGACATGAGAGTTAACGTTCTGTCAGATCTACCCCTACTCTACTATTGCGATTCGGGTCCCCAAACAATTGTAAATATTCTAAACAGAGTTTGTATGAGGGCGGGCCCTCTGCACGTTACATAGCCGAATCGTTGCTATGTGTTGCTCTAGATCGAAGTCCTTTCGGCAGCTTTCGTACCGAGTTCGGCCCTTTACGCTGCGAGCTTTCGTGGAAACTTCAAATCGTTGTGGTTAGTGGTTCGTTTTCCATTCGGCCAGTAGTTTGGTTTTTCTTTTTCGCTGACACGTCAAAAACGGTATAATGTGCGTCGATGGGTGTAATTTCGATAAGTGCCGTTAGATCGGAAGAGGGTTCACAAAATGTCATTTAATGTAAACGTAAATTGGGAATGGGTGCCTGATACATTTTTCGGTCAAACCGTTATTTTTTTTATAAGCAACAACGGTGATTTTCCACACGCACACGTGCTTAATTCTCTTTGTTTTCAATTTGAAATTCGACAAAAACGTCATATTTTATAAAGTTTAACAAAGTGTCGCACGTCAAATTGAAACCAAAATTCGAATTGCTTCAATGATTTAGTTAAATGCTGGTATAAGTGTTACCTCGTACTCTAGTTTTTATTTTTTTGACGGAGCATTAATAAAAAATTTTAAAATATAAAATAAATAATAAAAATAAAATGAAAAACATGGTCAGTAAATATAAAAGTGTGAAAAAGTGGGACAAATACATATATTAACAATTCTAAAAACAGAGAGGACCTGCAGGAACAACCATAAAAATAATAACAGGTACGGAATAATTGAAATTAAATAAAATATGAAAATGTGTTGGCACCTCCTTGATTGAGATGTTTGGAACTGGCGACTCACTTACAACTTATTAAAACTATGACACTGATTTATCCGAGAAATAATTTACTCTTTTTCATAATCTTGATAGTTTTCTACTCGACAAGTATGGAATCTACACTCTTTTGAACTTCAATACTTAATGCCTTGTAAATTTCAGTCTGTACAGTAATAATAATAATTTTTATTATTAGCAATTATTAGTTCTTAGGCATATTGAGAAAAATCGAGCAACAACGGTTATTTTCAATATCTTCTTAAAATAATTAACAATAAAATGTTTATAGCACCAAGTTAGATGAAACGAACCGTATTCAATGTTAATCTGGAAAATACGTTCTCTTTATGGGTGCCTTACACAGGCGGATGAGCCTTAATACCCGTTATCTTAATCTCGTTGTAATATGAATGAGCTTTCGTCTAAAATGAATAAATTGTGGGATTTACTTCTTTGCAAAGATTTTCGCTGAACGTTAACAAAAAGTTCCATTTACCATTAACACTTCATAACCATTTTAACAGAAAATGATGCTAAGACTAGCAGATGTATAATGTTTTTTTTGTGTTAAATAGCATAAGGCATGTGCAAACAGTAATTCTATTAGACAGTCAATAAATAAAATGTATTAAAACAAAATATCTACATGAATTAAAAGTACTGTGGATAGTGACATTGTAAGAAGGTATTAATGAGTATTCCATTAGGTGACGAGGCGATATGATGAGAAAATGACAGTATGTTTTGTACCAGGCGAATATTTGGCCTTTTGACAGAATAGCAACACAACAAACAATTATGAAATTTTTCAAAAAAACTTCCACAGGCTACTGTAATGCTTTTTACAAAACTTCTGGATTCCTCCTGCGTCGCTTTTTGCTTAGTCGAAATTTTATTCTATAAAACTAAAATTCTTGCATGTAATCAGTTCTTCTACCGACGAAAAATCCGAGAGTCTATAGAAATCTATAAACAACCTTAACCGCGACTCAGGTCTCTACCTGTCATCAATTTGAGAATCAGTCATCCGAGACGGTGTTTATGCCCCTCATTTAGCTCCACCCACACACACAATGCGAGCCAGTTTCAGTCAAGCTCTGAAGAAGCCAACAGGATGGTTGGCGAAACGACAGCAAGTTCGACTCAGCAAAAATCGCCGCAGGAGGAATCCAGAAGTTTTGTAAAAAGCAATTGAGACAGTCAAGTTATCCACGTGATCTGAGATTATTATAATTACCGGCCACTCATATACAAAAATAGAGTTCACTGAATTCTCGGAAGCTTAAGTTTTTAATTATTTTTATTTAAAAGAGCGTTGTGGATTCATACATATTCATTCATGTACATTCAACATAAATAATCGTATTCAGAATGTACCTATACAATGGTTTGTAACTACCAGATTACTTGTTCTGGCAAAATTTATGTTTAATAAGACTTACCAACTCTACTTTAATCGGGCATTAACCATCAGTTAACAACAACTACGAGAAGTGAAATGCACCTCTGCATTTCTACCTATCATGCGAATTGGTTCCTTTACTTACCAGGCTAACAACCCTACGCCGTAAAACGGTCCTTAAACATCAACGCCGTTCCAACCCCCAGACAAGCCAAAATTGTTGTCTTAATCGACCATTTAAACGATCCCGTTAATTAAAGTCGAAACGGACGTTTCCAAATCTGTGCTCGGGAGTTTAATAAACGTGAAAGGTGCGCAGGCGGGTGACATGGACTATGGACAAGTCGAGGACAAGGCGGGCGTATGGCCGGAAGTGTCGCTGTCGGAAGTTTGTCAGGTAAATAACGACTCTCTACCAATTCAATTTGCGATGATCGACCTGCGGCCTACTATTTAGTTCAACGTGGATATCCTTATTTCAATTCGCGTCAATAATCGTTATGCTCAATTAGGCAGGAATTAATTATTTTACCTTGCATTTAATAGAAAACAAATGATGCAGTTTCCATCAAATTTGTGGCTTACTTGTCCTGGTTTCTTTGAAAAGGCGGGTCGCAATTCGCTTTTTGTTCATTGTATGTTACAGACCATAATATGAACTCAGACCGAACGTTTATGGCCTAGACATTATGAAGAGGAAGAACCAAGAACAACAACACTTAACCAATTACAAATAAATAAAAAAATAAAGGTTTTTTCACATGACAATTATGAATTTGAAACTTATTTGTATGTTGTTCCGAGAGGGCGCTAGTGCCACCGTATTATTTAAATAAATCAGACCATATTGTTCTTAATTGTCGAATTACTGTTGAGGCATAATGAGCATTTTTTACAGAATAGGCAGTGTTGTTTAGCCCTTCTAACTGTGTTCTGGCTTATTTGCATTTAAACAGTTAAAGGTATATTTTCTTTTTTAAAAAAGACTTAAAAGCACAGGAAGCAATAAAAACCCGTATTTAACAATAACACTTTTCGTAATAAAAAAAAAATATAAATCAAATGTTGGAAAATGTCCACCATCCAACATGTGGTTTATAGAGGATGGGGTGCCACCAAATTTTGCGTTTAGAGTGGGAAAATATTTATATGAACATTTATGAATACTTTCCTTATCGGTGGATTGGTCGTGGAAGTGAATCTGTTTCGCCAATAATTCCAACATTTGTTTTTAGTTTTTTTCGTTACTATTCCCAAAGTTGTTATTGTAAAATTTTGGTTGTTGCTCTCCGCACCTTTCCATCATTTCAACTTGAAATTGAACATTATTTATGACGTCCATAATACTTCAATCATAACTCAACAGATAAAAGAATGTTATTCGATTTACCTAAATAAAACTAGCGACCTCTAGAAGCAACGCCCAAATATGCTTCCTATTCGTGATTGTCATGTCAAAAAACCTCAAATCACATTTGTATAAGGAATGTTGTGCTTAAACATCATATTTTGCTGTCTAGTATCTACAGTATAGGGATTGACCATTTTTTATGAAAATACTTACGTAATCGAGGCTACTAAAATACTAAAATATTTGTATAAGCGTCGGATTGCAATCTGACTAGCATGTAATCATTGAATCCACTTCTTCTCTATGTGCGTGCCTACGACTAGTAGGATTATTCGACCAACCGTAGAATGTCAATCGGCATGGTCAGTGGGACCTGGTCGTTCGGGTGATGTCGACAGGATAGGAGGAAGAGGTGGTGGCAGAGTTGGGAATAAATGTTGATATATTTTTGAGTCTATTTTGTATTTCGTCTCATTCGATTAGTGGAAGTATATGGGGCGCTCCAAAATTTTTAAAGAGTGTTAAAATTTTAAGATTTGTAGTTTCCATGTTAATGTTAAACAAAACAAATATATGATTTTAACGAGGTTTTAAATAATACGACCACTTCGAAATGAGAGCGAAAATAAAAATTGTAGTTAAAGCCTTCGACCTTTTCCCATTGTTTTGTTGATATTTTAATTAAAGTTAGCGAAGGCCAACAAATGATTTTACTTTTTTTTTGGGTGGTCGTAAAATGCAATGCAAATTGCCAGTGGGGCACTACACCAGATATTTTAGATGGTAGGGGTCATAACTCCTACAAAATATATCTATTTACAATTCTAGCAATCAATCGGCTGCAAGACGTAACGCGTGCTTTAGTTTTGACTTGAACACCTCAAAAATTGTATGTAAAGCGTTTGAGGACACACATCCTATATGCAATTGGAAGACATTCTACTTTTTTAAAACTCCTCTATTTAGGAAAATCAATTTTATATTCTATGTTAAACATGGAAACAAACATGACACTATGTAAATTGAACGTGGTTTAGAATGCGCAGTATATATAGGAAATTATTATTGTAAACGTGCGGAAAGTGTCACTTTAAGGCGTCTGATCCATTGTTCATTTTTATCAGCTGATCAGTTTTGACGGTCTCATCACGCGTCACTCGTTGAATGTATTCACACGCTATTTAGCATTTATCAAACTTGTTACATAATATACTATCAATTGTCATGTTTCATAATTATATAAAACATTAGGAAATTGCACAGATTACATAAGAAGATAATCCAGACCTTTTTAAAACGAGTAAATATACATTTACGCGCAACAAAGAATTGAATGAAATAATAACATCATAAAAACCTGACGTATTTGATTCCTATTGTTTATTTTCATTCTACGTATTTACAATTTACCACGGGCATTTATTTTCATTTTCAATGGCATTTTAAAACACTTTCATTCATCATTCTTTATTAGAAGTTAAAAATAAACATGCCGAATGTTTTTAAGAATGAAAAAAATTAAATGGGAACTCTGAAATGGTAATATCGAGTGTACCGCAGAAAACGTGCAAAAAAAACTGTTATATATCGAATTTTTTGAAGCGAAAATTTATCATTCTGTGACTTTTCCGGTGGCATACACTTAAAATGACTGTGAAGGCTTCCGACAGATATCTTGATCCGCCTAATAATATCCACTACATCATTCGATGTTGCCAAACCGACGGCAAAATGTATTTGGTACACGAGCCTCAAAGATGGAAAACATGGGGATGGAGAATCGTCAATAAATCTCTGATAACCTCTCCCCTCCATCAGAAATCAGGCAGAAATCTCTAAAGGGGTGCCCAATTCAGCCCGAAAACTTTGCGGGAAACTGTTCCGCAAACGTCACGTCTGTTTTGGATTGGGCGTTATCGGGTTTTTGGGTTCTTACATACAGCTCATTTTTTCTAAATCGTTATTTTGATATTGACGTCGTAAAAAATATAATTATATAAGCGGCAGATAAAATAATTTTGTATGCATTTTTTTCATCTTCAATCATCATATATCACGCAATCATCATCATCACAATATTTTTTTTCCAGACATCCTCGATGTATCCTTCCGCTTTTGATAAAGACAATGAAATTGTAGCTGATCGAGTTTCAGACATAGAGGCGCGTTTTTAAAAACATTTTTAGATGCTACGATTATTATTAAGCCAATTTTAGATGGTAGATTTTGGGCGCTATTTTTTTTTTTGGTAATGTAAAAAAGAAGTTTCATCTCGCAGCAATAATTTCCTAACGAATTTCTTAGAACATGATAATATATAAATAAATAATAGTACTTTATCTCAAATCGGTACCATGACTTAATTGCAGGAAATATTGAACATAAGTCATATGGTATATTAATTACATGGGACGCAAAAACTAATCTTAAATCCACTAATTTTATAAGTAAATAAAGAATGAAAAAAAAAAGGATAAGGCTTTTCAGTACAGATAACCCGACGTCACTCGAAGTTGCCTAAGTATCGCCTGGAGACCATCATAATATTAATCACAGTGCGATGATAATTTGTTGAAGTTAACGCGCATATTGTAAATAGGGTTTTGAAAATGGACATTATATCTGGGTAACTGCGGTAAGAAAGTTGATTAATGTCTCCCTTCCAGCCGCAGCAGATGAAAACGTAATTGTTCCAGAAGAAACGGACATTGGAGTCCGTAAAGGACAAACTTATAGAGAAATGATACAGATTGCAAGTCTCTGTGTAAGGCAATGCAGCGAATCTTCTCAGTAGTAGTTCATGATCAACTCCCTCCTCAAGATAAAAACCCTCCTCCCTGAACATTAGATACTTCAGTAACCTTCTCTACACACTCTCAATGGAGTGACCATACCACCGAGCCTTAGTCAAACTTTTAATAGTAGATTACGAACCCTAAAATTTGCATTGCACTGGAAACTATTTTAATAATGTCAAGTACAAAAGAGAACGTCCGGTCAAATAAAATCCCCAGATCCTTTACAGTGGCAAATCTAATTGCTATCCTGAGTACCATGTTTTCTTTGCACAAAAATGCACTTTCTTAAAAATATCAATGAACTGTTGCTTTTATTACCTTTCATGCAGACTATATGAATATCAGTTAAAATGGCAGTAAGCTTTTGAAAAAAAAATTACAGACATCATATGTGTTAAATATGGGATCAAACATGGCATTAAGCAAGTTGAACATGGTTTATATGAATTGCAACTTTAAGGCATCCGTTTCATTGTTCACTTTTATCAGTTGATCAATTTTGACGGTCTCAACACACGTCACTCGTTCAATATATTCGCGCGCTCTTTGGCATTTATCAGTGAATTGATGCTTTCATTCAAAATGACAGCAAGCTTGTGAAAAAAAATCTACAGACATCACCTTTGGAAATGACTCTGAAATGAATTCACAAGGGATCTGTATTATAGCTGATATGTGCTGTATTGGACCATGGTCGAATTATATCGGCATTAATTTTTTTAAATTTTATTCTAATGTTAATTCTCTTTTCCACCTAGCCACATATCGCGAGGTCTAGTCCTCGGTGACCATAGACCGGAATAAGTCCGATTTATCAATATGCAATCAAAATGGCTGGAAGGTCTTTACGGGAAATGTGAAACAGGATCGAATTGAGCGTAGAATTAGGGCTTGTGGGCTCAGCTAGCATTGCAGTAGACTTAATTAGCTACGACTGGCATGGTGTCAAGAGCGGCTTCATTGGAATTGTTGTCGTTTGGGATGCGATAATAAATGAAAGCAGCTGAGTCAAGTTTTTAGACCTTACTTTGACGTAATCCAGGAAGAGCTTACCCCAAGAGGATATCGATCATCTGATTCACAGTAACAGTATGTATATACTTACGTAAAGGCGTCACTCACTGCCGAATTCTAAGAAATTCAATTCAATATGTTTGTCAGAGGATGTCATCTCTTGTTATTGATTATTCAACTCTTTCCCGAAATATTAATAAAATATATTATTAGCATTTCTGTTTAAACGACCCA